TTCTGTGTCTCCCTCTCTCTCTGCCCCTCCCCTGTTTGTGCTCTACCTCTCTCAAAAATAAACATTAAAATTTTTTTTTCTAAAAAGACAGGCATTTAACTGACTGAGCCACCCAGTCACCCCTATAAATAAAAGCTCTAACCTTTTCTCACAACTCCCTAAAATGTATACACCCTACTATAGAAACTATAATTTTAGAAGACATATAACAAAGGTGTATGTAAGTATTCTTTTTGACACATAATATTATGTCTCAAGATGATAATGGCCCCCTTTTCCTCTCAAAAGTGCCTTAACTTAAATGATAGGTTTTTGAGTATCCTAATATAATCTACTTATAAAGCATGTAAATACTGAATTAAAAATTTTAACTGAATTAAAATTTATTTATAAACAAATTCCAGTCTCAGAAATTGTGTAGTCAGGCATGTTTGACAGGCATGTTTGGAGAATTAAAAAATCAAATGCCTTTAGATTATTTAATACTTTGCCACAGGTCTCTTACTCTTTAGTCTAAAAAGACAGTGTTTCCTTTCTAAATATTTGTTAATTACCCCTTGGAATCATCTCAAGTCCTACTGCCTGTTAAAAGTTCTTAATGAAATATACTACTGAATTGTCAAAAGCATATTCATGTTGCTGAAATATCACTTTAAAACTCTTATTTTCCCAGATTTAAATATGTGGCCAATGACAATAACTGGAATCACTCAAATTTCTAAATTTCAAGTACTCAAACAATGTAGTCATCATAGGAAATGTGCCAAATGTCTGAATGCCACCCTTGAGTACCATAAATACTATGGAATTTCCAACAAACACCAAGCCAGGGAAGGTCCAGGTTTGCTCAGTGCAGTCCCAGTTATATACTTGAATTCAGCATTATCATCAATAGCATCTATCAAAATTGCACTAATTTAGATACAAAACAATGTGGTCACTGTTGATTTTTTTCCCCAAGTTTCAACTGATTATGCCTCTTCAACAAAGTAAATAGCAACATGAAAAAAATCCTTATTATTACCTTTCTGCACAGCTAGTGGGATTTCTTGAAGTCTCCAAATTGACCAAGAATCAATTTTCATGTGAATCTTTTTCTTTCTTGACTTTTGTCGTTTTAAAGCTTCTTCAGCTTCTGCACGGTCAGTTTCTAGACTTTTAATGAGATGAATGGCCTCTGATAGCAATATTTCCATTTCCTGCTTTAATTCTGGACACCTTTCATCTTAAAATAGAAATATGTACTCACATTTGTTAATGAATAAGGTTATAAACTAGGTGGTGGGAACATAGGTACTATCATATTATTACTGTTTTTTAATATTTATATGTTTACTAAGAGAATTTTAGAAAAATGAATTGGCCTTTTAAAGACAGCTCTATTATAACAGAATCCTAACATTAATTAAAACCTTTGAAGACAGATTTTTAAGTGAACATTTTATAAAATAATTAGAATAGCTAAATCTCAAGCAATAGCTTTATGTATAATATTTTACCTAAAGAAAAACTGCTTTATTCACAAGCTATATTATAGAGCTTTATTTTTAAATTATGCTTGTGTTTCGTTTCCTCTCATTCTATGACAAAAGCAAGTAACAATGATTACATCAGATAAAGATTGAAAATCCTCAGATGATTCCTAGAAATAAGACACTTTATTCCTTATCAGATAATAGCATCCCTAGTCAGCCTTGCCAGAAATTCATTGCTTCCAAATTCTGTTTATTCAGTTATAACACAAATTAACTCCTGTAATGAGATATATTTGTGATTCCTGGTTCACAGCTCTGAAATGCTATGGTTTAATGTTAACGGAATGATTAACATGGGTATTCATTCATCTATTTATACTAGAAACATGTAGAGAGCCTGTTACGTTCTAGGCAATATGTTCTCTCCCCAGAGATAGAGCAGTAAGGAAGATGGATACGGGTTCCACTCTGGTGAGATTTATACTTGTAAACAGTGACTTTTGCCAAAATGTGACATGACAAGAAGACATAAACAAACACAAAGTGTCAAGAAAGGCAAAGCCTCAAAGAGCTGAGGCTAGAGGAAAAACAGTAAAACTGTTAAAAGAAAAAAGACAACTAATAGACCTCTGTTTTATTTTGTTTTACTTTGGACAATAAAGCAATAATTTTCTGCTAGAAGATTGTATTAGACATTGGTTTTAAGTGCAAGCTCAGTAGCCACACAGTTTCTACTTCTAACCTAGTAGGCCTGTCAAAGAAATTCAGCATGCTGGCTGAAAAGAATTCTTGAGAAACAGGATTCTCTACTGTAATGCATAAAAATTATCTTTTCATGGATTGGCCCTTTGGTCCCTACTTTGGTTTATTGTCCTCTGTTTTCAAATTCTACTACCTCCTGGATACGTTATATTCTTAAGTGTCTGGGTATTTTTACGACAACATACACAGTAAACACTGTATTCTCCAGCCCACTTATGATATATTCAATTCCTATAACGAGATTTCAGTCTGAAATGTGTGATGAAATTAATGCCACGTAAAATTAGAGCACATCTCATGCAATATAAATGTTTTGGCAAACATGTCTATCATGTTTGCACAAGATGTCTTTTGTACTGTTTCTACGATAGCATCCTAAAATAAACGCTGTTTATAACTTGAGATGCCTCCAATTCATTGTATTTAATCTACCTCTCAATTTTTTTTCAGAATACCATTGCAATTAGTTTTACTGTTTCATACTAAGTGAGCAACCACTTGCAATTTTTTTTAGCACAAACACCTAATTACAATAAATCTTCCTCAACTTGACACTGTGTTATACTCTGGGAAAAAATGTGTGAGTTCACAATAAACATAGCTGTTTCACTGTTATGTTGTGGTCCTTAATATATTAATCTTTTCTTACAACATTTGTCATGTGCAAAACTAAGAAGTAATACATGAGCTTTTTTTCCCTTCAGTGTAGATATAAATATATGAAATGTAAACAGTAAACACAGATCTTCACTGTGAATGAGAGTTTTGAAAAACAAAGTATTAGTGCTTTTAAAAAGTCCTGAATTCATGAGGCATTTGGGTGGCTCAGTCCATTAAGCGGCCAAGTCTTGATTTCAGCCCAGGTCATGATATCATAGTTCGTGGGTTCAAGTCCCGTGTCTGGCTATGCACTGAAAGCATGGAACCTGCTTGGGATTCTCTCTCTCTCTCTCTCTCTCTCTCTCTCTCTCTCTCTTTCTCTCTCTCTCTCTCCTCCTCCTCCTCCTCCTCCTCCTCCTCCCCTGCTTTCATGTTCTCTCTCAAAATAAATAAACATTTTTTTTAAAGTCCTGAAAGCAGGGGTGCCTGGGTGGCTCAGTTGGTTAAGCCTCGGACTGTGGCTCAGGTCATGATCTCACAGTTCTTGAGTTCGAGCCCATGTTGGGCTCTGTGCTGACAGCACTGAGCCTGGAGCCTGCTTCCGATTCTGTGTCTCCCTCTCCCTCTCTCTGCCCCTTCTCTGCTCACACTATCTCTCTCTCAAAAATAAATAAACATTAAAAAAAAAAAAGGTCCTGAATTCATTAGTTATCTCTCATGAAAGGAAAATGTTTAATAAATCTTTATGGTGAAGGTAGGAAGAGGTGTTTAATATAATGTTAAAACTGTAGAGGTGCCTGGGTGGCTCAGTCCATTAACTGTTCAACTCTTGATTTCAGTTCAGGTCATGATCTCACGGTCATAAGATCAAGCCCACCTAGGGCTCTTGGTTGTACATGGAGCTTGCTTAAGATTCTCCATCTCTCTCTCTCTCTCTCTCTCTCTCTCTCTCTCTCTCTCTCTCTCTCCCCCTCCCTCTGTCCCTCCATTGCTCACGTGCACATGCACTTGCATGCACATTCTCTCTCTCTCTCAAAAAAATACATTCAAATATGCTGAAGTATTTTTAACAAAATTTTATTCCAGTATACAAATTGTTGTACATTTTGTAAACTGTGATAAGATACTAATCTTAATTTACATATATATATATATACACATACATACATATACATAAACACACACACACACACACACATAGCAGAGCTTCTATGTCCAGTATGGTAGCCATGAACCATATGTGACTATTTACATTTAATGTAACTTAAAATTAAACTGAAAAGTTAAATTCTTCGGTCTCCCTAGCTACATTTCAGGTGGTTAACAGCTATATGTGGCTAGTAGCTACTTTACTGGATGGTGGAAATAGAGAACACCTTGATTATCCCAGAAAGTTCTACTGGACGGCCTTGAATTACAGTTAGCTTCTTGAGAGGTAGGAAGGGATCATTATTTACTTAGGACCTAGCGCAGTATATGGTATAGCAAATATTTGTTGAATTTTGTTGTTTAATCAAATTATATAGAAGGCTCTTTATTAGATATGCACAAGAATTATAAAACTTTTAAAAATGATTATGGTGATAATTAAAAATATTTAATTTTTAAACATAATTTCACTTATCTAAGTATGGGGTATAATTTTACCTCTTTCTTCTTCTGGTTTGACCTCTTTCATTGGTGTAGCAATACTCCAATCTTCCTTCCACTCTTTTGTGGAAGAAGTTCTGCTCCTATATAAAGGGAAAGAAGCAACTAATTAATAAAGAACTGTTGCACTTAAACTCACTAAGCAAATCTTAGGTGATTCTCTTACATTAACTTTTAAATGTTTGTGGGGAAACTTACTATGCATGCTAATGCTACTATATAGGAGAGCAACATAGCAAAAGTCTGATACATAATGGGCTTGATAATTCGTGGTAAATTAATAGACATTTAAAAGCTGTCACAAATGACCTGAAAATATTTCAGGGGTTATTAAAACAGTTCTTTTTTAAAAATGAAATTGGTAAGGCACTTGGGCGGCTCAGTCGGTTAAGCATCTGACTCTTGATTTCAACACAGGTCATGATCTCATGGTTCATAAGATCGAAACCCTGCATCAGACTCTGTGCTGACAGCCCAGAGCCTGCTTAGGATTCTCTCTCTTCCTCTCTCTCTGCCCCACCCCAGCCTGTGTTCTTGATCTCTCTCAAAACAAAGACATAAACTTGAAAAAAAAGAGAGAAATTGGTGTTTCCTGTAGAGTGTTTTATCAGAAAAAAAGGGGAGTTTATTGAGAATAATTTGAGAGCTCTTTCTCTAACTTCAGTTTAGCAGTTTCTGGGACACCAATATAAATTCCAAAACCAAAATTGCTACTTCAGATTTGAAATTATATGGTGTTTGCAAAATGTCCAAATTAGTATGTTATTTCTTTCCCAAGGAATTTTTCTAGGTAAAGTTCTCTATATTGGATAATACAGAGAGAATAAATAGAGAATTTGATCCAATTCTCGAATCCAGACTAGTTTTCATTGTATTTAAAAAGAAGTATTTTTCCTTTGATAAAAGTTATAAGAAAAACAGTTATCAACAACAAACAAGGGAGTTATTTTCATGAAATTACTGTCTTATTAAATAAGTATCACAAATTAAAGGGAGTTCAAACCACCAAAAATCATAATATAAAATAATACATATTAATTTTTAAATATAACAGAATATAATATTCTAATATTTCAATTTTTATACAATTAGAATCACAAAATATTACATGCTGCTTTAGTTACATGACATTGTTACAGACACTGTAACATTCTTAGTCACAGGACAACATATTTCCAATGACTGCATATTATGTATTTCCTTGTTCCACAATTTATTTAAGAAAGCCTGTTTGGCTTCTCAAAAAGAAAAGGGAGATGACCCAAATAGATAAAATCATGAATGAAAATGGAATTATTACAACCAATCCCTCAGAGATACAAACAATTATCAGGGAATACTATGAAAAATTATATGCCAACAAATTGGACAACCTGGAAGAAATGGACAAATTCCTAAACACCCACACTCTTCCAAAACTCAATCAGGAGGAAATAGAAAGCTTGAACAGACCCATAACCAGCAAAGAAATTGAATCAGTTATCAAAAATCTCCCAACAAATAAGAATCCAGGACCAGATGGGGAGTTCTACCAGACGTTTAAAGCAGAGATAATACCTATCC